ATTCCTGTATGTTTTTTATTTTTTCAACATTTCTAGCTTTCAAGAATCACAATGCCTCGAAACAAAATTTAGAACCATGATGTCTCCATCTCATCAAATCAAAAATATTTCACCATTTACTAGCCACTTGATGCTAACCATTATAAATTTGTTTTCTCTTTAACGTAGTACCATAATCTGGCTACCGAGTGATTAATCAAGCTAGTTTGCAATATAATGGCCACATGTTACTAACACAAAAGAGTAATAGTTGAACAAAGTAGTGTGTTGACATACATCGAGATTAGATTGCAGCTCAGCATTGGCATCTGGTGCAGGCATTGCTCGAACAGCCCGATCGCGTGTGCGTGTTTTCTTAGGGCCATCACCGTGGGCTTTATTGGCAGCTCTTATTCTGCATAGATAGAAAATTCAATTTTTGTCTAAAGTCATAAATGAATAAAAATACCAGACTACATGCATTCAAAGAAGGAACATCAAAAGATGAGGGGGAAAAAGTTAAATAAATAGATGCACTATCAATAAAAGACGGAAACTGAATGTATACAGGTGGGAAGGAAATATAATTAACATGATCAAAACTTTGGTAATAACTCAATTTCCCAATGCTGCTATTCAGAATAATTTTTTTTTACCTATTCTTCAAGATATCTCAACCTATATTGAGGCTTAAACTTTCATCATTTTTACGAGATAATATAATTAGACACAAAATTATGTACGCAATTACCAATAAAGACTTGAGGAGGTGAAATCAGTTATTCCACAAAAAATAAAAGAAAGAAGAGGAAGGAGATTAATCCATGATGAAGCTCATTATTCGATTCCTCCAATCTCAATCTTTTGACATTATTCGACCTTTACGATTGTAAAACATCAGTGCTAAACAACCTATATAAAAACAAAACTGCAGTTCTTAATAAACAGATCAATCACACCTACTCTTATTGATAGGAAATTGAAAATAAACTAGACTACACATGTTGGATACATATCTCATACTCTTATCCAAGTGTCAAGTGTCTGGCATAGGTCAGTTATATGTTTAGAAGAGTCCATGTAACATAGCTGTTAGAATACTTATTTTTGTTCTTTTGTTCTCTTGTTAATATTTACATAAGTTGAGGGTACGATAGTCATATTGCTATGTTAGTGTCTCTATATATATTTGGCTGATGTAAAGTTGAAGCACAATGATTATTCAATATATATATAAAATTTCTCTCTACTCTCTTCTTCTTCTTCTTCTTCTTCTTCTTCTTCTTCCTAAATCTCAACCCTAAATTCCATCTTTTTACATTCTTAACTTGGTATCAGAGCAATCTACCCTTCATTAGAAAGGTTTCTACAGACGCTGGAGATCGATTGGAGGTGACCGAGATGTGTTGATGTCATCAGCCGTACGATGACATCAGCATGACGTAAGCACTGTACGGATGGGTCCTCCACCCCTAGATTCGAAATATACTCCTTAGATTTATGGTGATTTTTGAGAAATTTTTTGATCATCCCTAATGTGAGTTTTCTATTTTCAAATGTTTTTCATGTTTTTTGGTGTCAATCTATAAATTTAGATTTGGAACTGTTTTTTGTTGAATCTGCTTGCTGGAATCCTATCTCTGGGAGCCAAAAATCACTCTTTCAGTGTTATTTGCTATTATTTTGTTGATTTACTACTGTTGGATTGATGTTTGATTTGATTTTGGACTCTTTTTGGTACTATACATAGTCGGCAATGTTATTTTCCAGCCTCTACCTACTGAAACTTACTGTATAGGGGCTGAAAATTATCTAGCAAGGTCTAGTTGATCTAAAGTGATGATTTGTGTTGGTGGGTTGGTGTTTTTGGTTGAATTTAAATCCAAATCTATTTGGTAGACATAGGCCTTGTTTGGTTTGTATTTCTCAAAGAAATTTGGAAAAAATTCTCCACAAATAAGTTTTCAAAAGTAATCAAACTAAACAAATTTTCTCAAAAAAAATTTTCAAAACTTGTTGAGTTTACGAATTTTCCAAACAAATCTCTCTCATACACATCAAATCAATCACTTTTTCCAAAACTCTCTCAAAATAATTTTTCAAAGCATCTTTTGAAAAAAAAAATCAAACCAAACAAATTTTCGTACTTTTTATCTCAACACATGTTTCTCAAATACAAACCAAACAAGGCCTAACTCTTTCCTTCCAAATGGAACTTTTAGTGTGACCCAGCTGACATGCTAAAACAAGCCTGGCATAATATAGCTTCTTCCTTCCTTGGAGTATCCCTCCATCTCCTCAATAGAACACACAAGCAGCTATTAAATTGAACTTACGACCCGATATAACTAGCTTGTTCTTGGTCATAATTCTTTCTCGTTACTTGGGAAACAAGACGCCAAAAAAAAAAAAAGAGTAGCAGATAGTACAGTTAAATATTATATAGCTCATATAAACCAGTGACTGGAAAATGCTACAATGTCAGTCTCAGTTACATTGCCCATGGGTTTCATAGCACAGCTAGATCTCAAAGGTAGTGCTTGCAGCACAAGCGCCACTATGCATAACAACCAGAGAACCAAAACATCTTCATACTCCTGATTTGCGCAACTCGGCAGCTCCATGTGCAAAGTGGCATCTTTCTCCAAATGTGCAGGAGCCCTTTGCAAAATTTTCACACATCTTCGTCTTGTAGTTGCTTGCTGCTGGATGGGATGAGGCTGGGGCTCCAGGGGTCTTTGCATGGCCACCCATTGAACCAACACTCACAATTAACTCTCTTACCATGGAACTTGCTTGCTTGATCTGATCAAATGTACCCTCAAGTTCAATGTTTCTAAGATTTGCATCTGATTCATGGTCTCGAATAGATAGCTTCACCCCTGTTTGGCGACAGATCTGCTTGGAGTTCACACCAACCTTTCCTATGATTGCTCCAGCAAGAGAAGCATCTACACTAATTTTGGCAGTGGCTGAGTCACCAAAGCCAGTGACAGGAGCTGGTGCAGGTGGCTCTATCCGGCCTGGAAAACGGCTTAGAATAGCTCCCATGGCACGAGAATCATCCTGTGATGGAGCAACAGGCTTGCCAAGTTCCCACTCACCATGGGCAAAATGGCATTTGTCACCAAACTTGCAGCCTTCGGCAGTATTATATTTGTTGCACATTCGGGTTTTCACACCAGATGGGGAAGAACCATCTGGGATGGGAGGAGGTGCAGCCATGTTTCTTGAAACAGGAGCTGGAGCCAGGTTCATCATCTGTGCAACAGCATTATACCCACCAGGCACATAGTGAAGGAAGTGGCAGTTCTCCCCAAATGGACAGCCAGCAGTGCTGCAATCCATAACATGAACCAAAATCAGATCACACACAACAAGACATTGAATCCCATGGACAAACCCCAAGGGTTGGATGAGTTGCTCTGGTTAAGTGAATGAGTAGAAGTAGGCAAGGATCAATTTTGCACATTTAAATATAGAGCAAACTTCACTTTACTCCCTTGTAGTTTGGGCCGGGTGCGGATTACCCCCCTGACATTCGGAAATCACCACATAACCCTCACGTGGTTTGTAGACTAAGACGTACACTAACTTCTGTTAACCGAACGTGTAAATTTACCTTTATACCCCCATCTTTTTCTTCTCTCTTTTAAACCTACAAATATACATATACATATGTATATATATATATATATATGTATATACACACAGACAGAAAAGAAGAATGAGAAATTTTTGTTATGTTAAAAAATTTAGGATTATGTTAAAAAAAAATTGTTATGTTAAAGCTATTTGAGGTCCAAACTCGATTGAAGCTCCTGGTTTATATTCGAGGGCAAGCCATTCACAAGCGACAATGATACATCCATGGATTGCTCTGTTTTTGTATCCAACTTGGAATGTGATAAAGATGAAGGTCTGGTTTTGGAGGTAGAGCAACGACCCATTAAAGAGGATTACTTGAATTTGATCATGGAAGATTTATGTTCTGGTACCAAACAAGTTCCATCTATTGAAATTCATCCTCAACATTTGGAGTTCTTTATTGACCATGATGGTTTTGGGTTGATTCCAATTGAAATGTTCGATTCAACTCGGGTTTGGTTTCTGTGATCTGGAGATTGGTCTATGTTACAATTGATCTGTTCTCAATACAAATTATGTTCAGTCTTGATTTTGATTCGATAGCTCAACAAGGTAGAGGTCAACGAGGTAGTCATGGAAGAACTTTTGCTACAAATTTGGGTGAAGAAACTGAAATGAATCATCTAATTGGAACAAACAATAGCAACCAAAATGGGTTTGGATTTGTATATGTGAACTGGGTTTGTATATGTTCAGAAAAATAGGTTTGAATTTGTGGATTTGTTTACAACAAAAATGATCTCTCTCCATAGCAGAGACCCAGATTGGGTTGGCCGAAGATCATGAACACTCTGATCTAAAGTTGGAGCCCATTGATGGAGATGAAGCATCTTGAACCAAAAAGCATCTTTAGCAGCTTAATATCACCATTTTCTTTGCTGTAAACGTTAGTTCCAATCAAGAAAAAAAAAAGGTTGGAGAAACAATTTTGTTCGTTCTGTGAGAGAGGAGGAAGAAGAAGAATGACAAGCTTTCGTAAAATTAAATATGTGTAGGGGGTATTTTGGTCATAAAACATAGCTTACTTTCTTCATGGGCGTGTGAACCTCACAGCCCATTAATTGAGATGGAAAAGCTAACTATGCATTTTAGTCTACAAACCACATGGGGGCTATGTGGTGATTTTTGAATGTCAGGGAGTAATCCGCACCTGACCCAAACTACAGGGAGGTAAAGTGAAGTGTGCCCAAATACAAATTGCCCCCTGTGGTTTGAAAAATTACAAATACCTCATTGTCAGAATTTTTTATTTAACATAATTAATTGAAAAAAGTGAAATTTGTAACTGTTCACCTATATAATAATATAATTATCTGGATTATTAATTGAAATAAAAATTTAACATTATTAAAAACTGTTAATTAACTTGATGATTTATTAATAAAATGACCTATTTGTTATGAAATTAGAAAGCTTAAGGAGCATAATGTAATTTCTAAAACCACAGGGGTAATTCGTAATTTAAGTAAACCTCAGGAGGTGTGTTTGTAATTTACCCATAAAGATTAAAAAAAAAAATTAAAAATAAATTATATGTATGATAAAATAAAAATAAAATTTCATTTTATAAATTTTTTAGTTTTATTTTATTATATATTAAAGTTTGTCATATCTTTTAGAAATAAAACAATATATATATTTTGATAAAATCATTAAAATTGGTCAAAAGATCAACCAATTTACACAAAAATAAATTAACCAAAACTTTTAAATTTCATTTTATTTTAAAATTTAAATTATTTTCAATTGAAACATGTACATACTACAATATAAATGGGAGCATAGATTTACTTTATATAAGTTAAATAACTCACTTTTTTATTCTTTTCCCGATGTAGGATTGTGTAAAATAAAAGTTAGCAATTGTTCGGGCAAAAAATTTATTTCAAATCAAACAATATCAATCATTTAATTTTTAATTAGGTCAATCTTTAATTTTTTTTCGAATCAAACAAATCTAACCAATATATTTCGATAAAACTGCTATGATCACAATTAAACCAGCAAATCAATCAAATCAAAAATGGTTCAATCTAATCGGCTAGGTCAAAAGACCAATCAATTTATACAAAAATTAATTAATGAAAACTTTTAAATGTTATTCTAATTTTAAAATTTAAACTATTTTGAATTGAAAATACACAACACTATAATATTATATGGGAACATAAGTTTCACTTTATATAAGTGAAAAACTCACTTTTTTATTCTTTTCCCAATGTGAGATTATAAAATAAAAAATAACAATGTTTTGGGTATGAAGTTTATTTCTAATCAAGCAATCTTAGTCGTTGAATCTTTAATCAGATAAATTTTTAGTTTATTTCGAATCAAATAAATCTAACTAATATACTTTGATAAAACCATTAAAATTACGGTTAAACTAACGAATTAGTCAAGCAAAAAATGATTCAGTCTAATTGGCTAGGTTAAAAGACCAACCAACTTACGCAAAAATTAATTAATTAAAAATTTTAAATTTTATTTTAAAATTTAAACTATATTGAATTGAAACATGCACAAAACTACAATATTAAATAGGAGTATAAGATTCATTTTGTATAAGTGAAATAACTCACTTTTTCTTCTTTTCCAGATGTGAGATTATCAAATAAATCACAGACTAATTAGAATTTTTATTTTAAAATTTAAATTGTCTTGAATTAAACTATGCACAATACTATAACACTAAATGAGAGTATAAGATTCAACTTATATAAGTGAAACAACTCACTTTTTTCTTTCTTCTCCCGATGTGAAATTATAAAATAAATCATAAACTAATTAGAGTTTTATTTTTATATGGTTAAATGAAAGTAGGCAATGGGAATTTTTTTATTTTTTTTAAAATTAAGAAAATCAGTATGAGAAATCGAGGTTAAATTGACGAATTAGTCAAATTGAAAACGGTTTAGACTAATCGGTTAAATCAAAAGACCACCAATTTATACAAAAATTAATTAATTAAAACTTTTAAATGTTATTTTTATTTTAAAATTTAAACTATTTTGAATTAAAGTATGCACAACACTACAATATTAAATGGGAGCATAAGTTTCACTTTTCATAAGTGAAACAATTCACTTTTTTTTTTCTTTTTTCAATGTGAGATTATAAAATAAAAGTTAACATTTATTTGAGCGGAAAGTTTATTTTAATCAAACAATCTTAGTTGTTCAATATTTAATCAGATAAATCTTTAGTTTATTTTGAATTAAACAAATCTAACCAATATATTTTGATAAAACCGCTAACCAATATATATTTGATAAAACTGCTAAAATCACGGTTAAACCAACGAATCAGTCAAAGCAAACATGATTAAGCCTAATCGGTTAGGTCAAAAAACCAACCAACTTACACAAAAATTAATTAATTAAAATTTTTGAATTTTATTTTAAAATTTAAATTTTATTGAATTGAAACATTCACAACATTACAATATTAAATGAGTGTATAAGATTCATTTTATATAAGTGAAACAACTCATTTTTTCTTCTTTTTTTCAATGTAGAATTATCAAATAAATCATAAACTAATTAGAGTTTTATTTTTATATGATTAAATAGAAATTTATCAATAGAGATTTTCTAATTATTTAAAATTAAAAAAAATAATGTGAAATATTAAAATTCTCACCAGACTCATTATTATAAATTCTCTTTTATTTATATAATTCAATATATAAACAGATAGATAGTGCTGCTCTTGTTTGACTACCTAAGAATAACTTCAGGATTCTCAGCTCTGTGTAGGATCTGACTTGAGAGGATATCTCTATGTGTCTAGGCCTCTCTTTTGGCCATCCAAAAAGCAAAGACGTGTGGGCCTAGAATATTAGAAAATATATATGGGAGAATTACATTTTAATAGGAGAAAAAAAAATTTATACAAATATAGAGGGTACAAGTTATACCTATATCCTCACAACCTTCACTTATATCAACAAATCACCTGCACCTCACATATTTTTATAATTTTTTTATCTGTCTACCTAGTTTGAAATAACCTCTATATATATTAGTTTCAAAAAATCAACTAAGGCCCCGTTTGGGATGACGCTTTAGGTTAAAATAACTATATAGGACAAAATAGTATATTTTAGTTAAATAGGAAAAAATATCACGTCCAATCCCATAATCATTTTATTTTTTTTCTCTCAAAAGTCAAAAATATCAAAAAATCTATTCCAAATGAGACTTTTTAGCCTCAGGTTAAAGTAGTTAAAAAGTCAAAAAGTCAACTCACGTCCCAAACGGACTCTAAAAAACAAAACGTTTTGATCCCAAACCACACCTAACAAATGGAGAAAGGAAGTTGATAAACGACATAGCTGAGTTAGGGCTATTTTGAAAAGATGGTTAAAAGTCATTTTTCAGTTTTTAACCCATTTTGAGTTATATCATCTCTCACATGTTTTACACGTTTTTTCAACAAAAAAAAAGAGCCAAAAAGTTAGCTTTTAACCATTTTCCCAAAATAACTCTTAATTCGAGTGAATAAGACTTCGTTTGGTATACAATACTTTTAGTTTAAAAGTCTAAAAAGTTACTAAAAAACTTATAATCAATATCAAAATGTCAAAGATTATATTTTCTCTTTATTTTTTATATTTCATTTAATAAAAAAATTAAAAAATTATTCCAAGGATACTTATTGTTTTACCTCAAATAAAGCTTAATTTTCTACCGAAGATATAATGAGTAATAGGTTGTGCAGACTAAAATTAGAGAAGTGTCACTAATGCCACTATTATAAAGAATATCTAACTTTTTTTTTCTTTGTGAAGAGTCGAACTCTAATAATTTTACACTAAAAAGTGATGCTACACAATTATTAAATTAATGATATGCTAGGCTACATTTATTTTATTTTCCTATTTTTTTTCAGTTCTCAATTCTCTTTGTACCAATGACAATTTGGAACGTGGCAAGCTTCCTACGGAAACTTTGGTGACCTTCCTCCCTCTTTCCTCATAGCAATAATTCATAGAACTAATTTTAGTACTTTAATAAAATACTAATGACATGATAAGAAAAAAAAAATGAGACCAAAATATCACATTACAATAGGTGAGGTTCACTGTCAGCTCATTAGAGTTAGTTTTAGAATTCAAGAATTAGAATTCTAAAATATTTTTCCTTTTCTCATTATTGAAGGTAGTGTTTGGTAACGTTAACGTTTTTGGTTTATGTTTACAAAAATTTTATAAACTGGTTTTTGTTTATTTTTAGAAAAAAATAAAATACAAACGCGTTTGGTTTAAACAAAATGTTTAAAAAATTTTAAAAATATAAACTAAAAAATATGTTTGTTTAGGTCTAAAATATTTATATTTATTTTTATTATTCATGACAATGGGATCACACACATTATAATTGAAAAAAATTAATTAAAAAAATAATTGAAAAAAATTTAATTGGAAAAAAATTATTTGAAAAAAAAATATTTGAAAAAAAATGAAAAAAATTAATTAAAAAAATAATTGAAAAAAAATATAATTGGGAAAAAAATTAATTGAAAAAAAGATTATTTGAAAAAAAAAATGAAAATAAATTATTTGAAAAAAAAATTGAAAACTGAAAAAGTAAACTCATTTTTTGAGTTTACGTTTTTTTCTCAAATTTATAAACTGAGACAACCATTTATAAACCAAAAAAATTATCAAACAAGTTTTTATGACAGTTTTTAAATATTTGTAAATATAAATTGAAAACTGAAAACAGAATGATTACCAAACAAGCCCTAAACTAATCTCAAAAAATAAATTAACATTCAGCTTATTTGGTTTTGATTTTCAAAAAACATCTTTTAGAAAATATTATTTTTTATTTTTCATATTTTGTTATTTTCAATGAATTTTTTTAATATTTGAAGTATTTTTTTTAATTTTTTGACACACCTAACATAAATACACTCGAACAGTATAATATTTGTGAAAAAAAAATCTTTAAAAAATTCACTAAATAACAAAAATACAAAAAAAGAGAAGAAAATTCAATACATTTTTCATATTTTTGTGTATTTATTAATTTTTAAATTTTTTTCATAAAATATTTTACTATTTAGATATATCTAAGTAAGGTGCATCTAAAAAAGTAAAAAAAATTGCTTAAAATTTTAAAAGTATTCACTAAAAAAAATATAAAAAACAAAAAACTTAATTTTTAAAAAATTAAATTCAAAAAATTGAAACTAAACATACTAATTATTTATGTAATAATATGAACCAATGGTCTAACTGAAAACTTTGTCCTTAAAATATAATAATTTACCATTGTTAAGTAGTTTGGAAATAAGGAATAAACCGATTAATATAAATTGTAATTTTTCAATTGTCAATATATCACAAAACACAATTTTAGAAAAATTACAAAAAAAAATTCACAAGATTTGAGCATTAAAACAAAATAAATTTTTAATTTTTTCAATTTAAAATCTAAACTTTTAATTTATTTTCAATATAAACCAGTTATTTATTTTCATTAATTAAAAGCGATAAAAAATAGAATTTTAATCATTAAAATCAATAAAAATAATATTTTAAACATTTTATATAAACAATTTAATGATTGAAATATTTTTTTGTGAATTTTACTTAACAAAAATAAATAAATAACTCAAATTGAAAACAAATCAAAATATTAAAATTTAAATTGATAAAACTAAAAATTAAAACTTTTAATTTTAATTTTAATTTTTTTATTACAATTTGTCTCTAAAATTTCTAATAATTCTTCCTTTCCCCGTAGACTTTTTAGGTCTTTGCTTTTTTGTCTTTTTCACAAACCAAAAGCTGTCTCTCTGTTTCACATTTTTTCCCAGGCAAAGAGCCTCTCTTCGTCTGGTGAGCTTAGCATTGTCTTCTTGAGTTGAAAGACTTGAAAGGGTTAGGCTCTCCTCACTCTCCTCCCTCACATGGCCTAATCTCCTTAGCCTTTCCCCTTCCTCCATTGTGGTCTCCCCAAGATTGTGCACATTGTCTATACACTTGTACACTTAAAACCCAAATGCCCCTCTTGGTGCTTCTGTGACCATTGAAGAGGAAGCAGCTCTCTTGATGTCTAGTTCACTTGGAGGACTTCTCAATTTTTTTGGGGTAAAACTCAATCCTCTCATCTCATCTCTGTGATTTTGTGGTAAAACTTAAAGGGTAGGATTTTCTAAAGTAAACACGTTTAGGGTGTTCTTAATTTTAAAGCATTTTTTGTTATTTTGTTCTTGGATGAGGAACTTTGTGATGTTCCATGTATGTATTTTATTTTCAATATTAGGTAATTTAAAAAAATCATGAAAATGGGATGCTTAATGGTGCCACTTGTTAAGAGGTGTTTTATCTTGAAAGCCTATGAAAAAAAGGAGTACTCAAAATTAGTTTATCTTGAATGGCATAACCCTAAAAGGAGTACAATTGGGGTTAATCAAGATGCAGATTGTAAGATCTTACAATTGTATAAGCCCAATTGGGCCAAACAATCCGGATCTCATTAGGATCTTAAATTGTATAACCCCAGTTGAGTCAAACAATCCGGATCGCATTATGATCTTAAATTTTGTAGATTCTACTCCCATTCCAACCAAAAAAAAATTTGTTGTTATTTATTTCTTATATTTGGCCATAAATCCCTCTGGAAGCATCTCCTCTAATAAATTTTAGCATAGAAGATGCCTTCTATCAAATTATCATTTTTCTTTAATGATTTTAAAATTATTTTACATACATTATTATTATAGATAATTTTTTAATTTATTTTGCACTGAAATTAGAATCTTATAATTCTCAATTCGATTCTATGATCCGATCCATGACTCTCTCCCAAAGATCACACATAGGATCCCAATTTTAACAACCTTGTGTTAGATGGTTGTTAAGATCGAGATTCTATGTAGGATCGGTGAGAGGGTATTGTGGACCGGATCGGATCGGGTCGTAGGATTGGATAAAAGATCATAGGATTGTACCTCCTATTTAAAATAAGGTAAAAATACAATATATATTAAAAATTGCGATCCTACTATAACACTGATTTGGATCATTTTGACAATATAGAATTGTATGATCCTACAATCTGCATTGCTATTTTGATAACCATGATGTAAAATGAAAATTTTGAAGTATTAGATGTTATATGCCATGTTATTGAAATGTATAATTTTTCTAAATATTTTGGTAGATTAGGGCTTTATTTTTAAAGCCATGTACCTTTGAAACTTTATTTTAGATCAATTTTGTAAAGTATTTGATTTGTGCTTTGAGGAGTAAGTTCACATGATTAATATGCTTTGGGTGATATTTTAAAGTTTAGTTGTCAAAGATGGGAGATTGGATGTCAAGTAAGTGACATTTTTATTGAAAATAATAAGTAACATTAGAATTTTAGAGCTTGTCTATGTGCTCACATGCTTTATAATTTTCTAAAATGATTTTGGAAGTGAATGCTTAGGTTAGGCTATATATTGAAGTTTATGTTTTGTTTGGGAAAAGATGAATTTTATTATGAAATTTTAAAAGTTGGAAACATTGTCAACATGTTTAGATGATTGTCAAATAAAATGGAATTTTAATCATGATTAAATAACAAGTTTGCAAGTTTCAAAACTGGAACCGTATTCTGGGTTATTAAACCCTAACGTAATCATGAACTTCTTCAATTGGTTTGGCTTTTTAGGTATTGACTTACCTTGTTTTAGTTCATCTCATTAGGTTTAGACATCCAGGGTGTGACATAATATGTGATATAATTAACAATGCAAAAATAGCACATGCTACTAAAAGGACTATCAGTTACAGAAAAATATATTTTTTGCACAATTAAGGAACAAATAGTTTAACCCTCATGAAATAAAGTTTATTACTGGAACTCTAATGCGAAAGATAACTGTTGCACATAGGTCTCAAGGTGTTTAGATAGAGAATGATGCTTTGATTTAAAAAAAGAAAAGAAAAAAAAGATCGACAACCTTTAACTAAAATTTCATAAAAATAAACCAAACAATAAATTATATAGCATCAATTTTTAAAAATGAGACAACTACAAAACCCAAATTGTATTCACATGAGTCAAGCCCAAACAAATGTTTGTATGGGTCCAAAAACAATCCCAAGCCCAATAAAAATTCCCAAGCCCAACTTTTATGTTTATAGCTTACAAGTCCATACAAATGTTTGTATGAGTCTAAAAAAAAATCCCAAGCCCAATAAAAGTCCCAAGCCCAACTCTTATGTTTATAATTCCTAACCCTAGCAGCTGCTGCTTCTTCTTCACATGCTTCTTCGCAGCCTGGTTTCTCTCTCTCTCTCCCCTTCTGTGTCGCCATCGCTCCCATCTAGTTAGATCCGCGATTCTATCTTGACGGAGACGCGATTCTATCACGAATCTTGCTACGAATCGTTGAATCGCGATTCTAGACGAGAATCGTCTCCCATTTCGACGATTCCTGCTACTAAGGTTTAGATGATTGTTGTAAGAGGGGCTAATTTGAGCCCACTAAATTATTTAGGCCCATTAACCCAAGATTAGTGGGCCCGAATTTATCGCAAGTCCAAAAATTTTATGACGTGGCCAACCTTAAGCTCAAATCCACATGGCCACATTCGCATGCTTGGAGTGCACCTAGCAATGATAAAAGCTCAGGACCGAGAATGCATTTTTTGCTGCATACAAGCAAGTTTTGGTTATAATTTGAAAGAGGAATGGAGGAGATGGAAACTTGAGATTAGCAAGGAACAAGGTTGTTGCATCTTGATAGATTATCGGAACGGTTCCATCCTCTTTTTCATCTTCTTCATTGCTGTACCATCTTCTAACTTCTTCTTCTTTTTTTTTTCATTTTCTTTTGATATAATTAACAATGCAAAAATAGCATATGCTACTAAAAGAAGGACTATCAGTTACAGAAAAAGATATTTTTTGCACAATTGAGGAACAAATAGTTTAACCCTCATGAAATAAAGTTTATTACTAGAACTCTAATGCCAAAGATAACTGTTGCACATAGGTCTCAAGGTGTTTAGATAGAGGATGATGCTTTGATTTAAAAAAAGAAAAGAAAACAAAAATGACAACCTTCCTAACTAAAATTTCATAAAAATAAACCAAACAATAAATTATATAGCATCAATTTTTAAAAATGAGACAACTACAAAACCCAAATTGCATTCACATGAGTTAAATTTAACTGTTATCATCTGTTGGATTAAAAATGGAAACTTGATGGATATCAATTTTGAAAAGGGGCAAAACAACTGAATGGAGAGAATTTCATAAATGGCATTTACTCAATGGTTAACCTTAAACAAAGGGTTTAAGGGATGAGTCTGATTTTCTTTCACAAGCTCAGAGTGTGAACAGTACACATTTTTTGATTCGTGCAAGGCGAAATAGTGGAACCTTCATGAAAACCAATTCTGAAAATTCTTTTGTTAGTAGTTAGTAGCTAGAGTGAGTTAGTTGCACTCTAGAATGAACTGTAAACAAGTATTAATAGGCATCTAATTTATTCAGCTATGCAAGCCCAACAGAGGCAAATAACTTGAAGCGAGAACATATTCTTCATCTTCTTTGTCACAATAAAAACCCACAATTTTTTTGTAACAAATTTCCAGATTTTTACAAATTTCTGCACGGAAGTTCTCTTCCCTAACTCTCCTGAATTCTTGCTGCCCCATCACACCCTGCAACAACCTAACAGTGGTATCAGAGCATTGAAGGTCCTACAAAACAAAACTGCTAAGGTCCAAAGTCCATAGAATGGCAGCAAGTTCCAGCATTACAACCTTTAAATATTCACCAGCCGGACTACCGATTTTTGAAGGAGAAAATTACGATTTTTGGAGCACTCAAATGAGAACCCTTTTCAAATCAGAAGATCTGTGGGATTTGGTTGAAAATAGCTACGAAAGCCCTCAAAGCCAAGAAGAATATTCAGCATGGTCAGAGGCAAGGAAGGAGAAGTTGAAAGAAAATGAGATGAAAGATGCCAAAGCCTTGTACTACATTCAACAAGCAATCATGAAACAATTGCTCCAAGGATAATGGCTGCAATAAAATCTATAGAAGCATGAAAGATTTTGAAGAATGAGTTTGAAGGATCGGCGAAGGTTATCGTTGTCAAACTTCGAACTTTATGGAGAGAATTTGACAATTTGATGATGAAGGAAGGTGAGTCCGTCGAAATTTTCTTTTCATGAGTTTTTACTATCATTTATCAATTGAAGGCTTGTGGAGGTATAATACAAGATAAGAGAGTAGTAGAAAAAGTCTTGAGAAGCCTTCCTACTAAATACGATCGTGTGGTGGCTGGCATAAAAGAATCTGCAAATTTATCAACTCTTAGTTTACATGAACTAATGGGTTTCCTTCAAGTGGGTGAAGAGAGAATGAATAGATTTTCTGATCAGTTATTGGAGCAATCTTTTCAAACAAAGATGAATATGTCAGAGAATAAGGATGGAGGAAACAAGAAACAAAATCAAGGCAATCAATTTCAGAGAGGCCAATCTAATTGTGGCCACAGAAGAGGAGGAAAAAGGCATACTCAATGGCCTGCAAGAGGTATGTCACAATCTGAATCTCGCTGCAAATTTTGCAAGAATACTAATCATGGAAGCATGGACTGCCATTTCCAAAAATGCACAAGATGCAAGAATCCTAACCATCTTGAAAAAGATTGTTGGTTTCGTATAAAGGATGAAGCTGACTTTTCAGAAAAGCGTGAATCTTCAAACCAACAGTTCTATCCTTACATGAACACTCAACAAGAAGCACAAGACACAAGGTATATTGACAGCAGATGCAGCAACCATGTGACGGGAAACAATAGCAGCTTTGTTAGCTTGGATGAAGGAGTAAAATCCAAAGTAAAGTTTGGAGATGTGAAGGTTCAGAACATTGAAGGAAAGGGCACCATTGCTGTGCAAACAAAGGGAGGTAACACCAAGCTAATCCATGACGTTTTTTATGTTCGTAGTTTAACTCAAAATCTATTAAGGGTGGGCCAATTGATACAAAAAAAGGATATGTGGTGAAATTTGATGAAGGTGAATGCACTATACTTGAAGAAGAATAATAAGAAAATTGCTCGAACAAATTTGGCCACCAATGAAGTGGTTACTCTCACAATGCTAGTAAAGGCAAACTATGCAGGCTGAAGACATGGATGAATACATGACATGGCATTTGAGACATAGTCTTTTGTCGACTTGTCTACAAACCAACCCAACCTGCCTATATGTATATGAGAAATTTACCTTGCACTTGCTTACAAGCAATCTGTCCTTAACCTTAATACCATTAATTAGATGATTTTATTTTTTATTTTTGCTTAATTTGATTCTTTTGTATATTAGTTTGTAAAGTATGATTTCGCCTAACATCATGTATTGATTTATATATTTGTTGTGTTGGTATGTGGAATAAATAATATATATTTTTTCTGTTGAAATTAAAATAAAAAAAAATTAAAAAATTAAAAAAATGAAGGTGTAAAGGTTGTATGTTCAAACCTAAATCGACCGACTCACACCCCTACTCAAGAGGCACATAATCATGTAAAGTTTCAAGTGATTGCGACTCTTGGGGCATTGGCACAATGCCAAGGGAGTTTTTTTTTTCGACACCCTTTTTTTTTGTTAGTTGACATCATTATTCAGTTCACAATTTTTTTTTTTTTTTTTTTTCTCACACCACTTAATCCCCATATTCTTATCTTCAATCGAATCTAACCCTTTCCCCCCGCCACCGTCATCGGTGTAGCCCCCATGCTTGCGCAGCCCCTCTTATCCCTGTTGCCCACTGCCTAACCCCCACCTCCTCCCCTGTTGCCCTCTCTCCATCGCCCTCACCTCCTTCTTTTCCTTTTTTAGGGGCTGCTAAGGGGAGTTACAGTGGTGGGCAGCTAGTGGAATCACGATTATGTGGTGATGGCAATAGCAATGGCTAGGGTTTTGTAGTGGCAAGGGTTGGTAGCTAGCGATGGTGGGTTAGGAGGGAAGGTGTGTATCTTTTGTCCTTGATGGTAATTTGTTTGTGGGCCACAATCGCAATTAAAAACATAAAAAAATGGTGTGAACTAATAAGGAGGAGGATGGTGTGTAGATGCTCCTCAATGTCAAGGACCACCAAATAACTTCTCTAGCAACAGACCTTTTGTCAGGAAAGTTTCCCGAAAGGTACAAAGATGTTACTTGCTAGGCATTCACTTAGCCATCCAACCATCTTAAACCCACTTGGATGGAATTAATACAAATGGCTTAATATGCATGATGAATGCTGGACAATCCAAATCCAAATGCCAATCAATTCAAGCGCATCAATTTCTTAGTATAAATGATCCATTTACTATTCTATTATGAATTTTTTAATAAAATATTTCGATTTTTGAAATGGGTTGGTTTGGCAACCTTAGAAAAAGCCAAAAAGAAACCAAAAAAGTTAAAAAGTCATCATTATTCATCAAAAAAAAAAAAATATTAAAAAATTAATATACAAATATTAAAATAAATTAACTTTTTGGCCCAAGATTGGTACTGACGGAAACAAAAAAAAGTTAAAAAGTCATCATTATTCACAAAAAAAAAATATTAAAAAATTAATATACAAATATTAAAATAAATTAACTTTTTGGCCCAAGATTGGTACTGACGTGATCAACTAGTCGGTGACAGAGAAAAAAAAAATTACAATTGGCCAATCACAAAATTGGATGGTAAAGTTGGGCCTGTGGGGGTCCACCATAGGTTCCGTTTTGATAATCTGAACCGTCAATATGTAGAACTCGTCTAGTACTATATGTTTGCAAAAAATCACATTTATCGGATATCGCTAATTACATGATCAAATCAGTTTTGTATAAAAATGGATGGTGTTATAGTTAACAGTTAACAAAAAAAACTAACAAGATCATATAGCTATTGATATCCAATTAACGTGATTTTTTACAAGCATATAGTATTCGACGAGTTCTACACATTGAACGGTTTCGATTAGAAAAAGGGACCTGTGGTGGGCCCCCACGGGCAAAACAACACCATTCAATCAAAGCCCGAGAAGGAGACAATATTTTCTCATCTACTCACCCAACCGACTCCACTGCTAATCCATTGTCCGTCCGTACGGCCTCCTATCCTATCTTCTCCTGCACACTTATACAATTTTTTAATACACATGTTTTTATAAAAAGTTAAAAAGTTAACCCAAACATCCATATTTTTTTCCTCAACTTTTTAGTTCAAAAAGATAAAAAGTACACTTATTTCGGACACCCCAAACATACTTTATTTTTTAATCAAATTTTAGGAGACCATAGTGCCAACTTTGCAAACGTTTACTAGGGCAAATGCATGTCCAGCCAAACTTATAGAATTTGTAGTTGTTATATACATATTAGGGGTTACCATTAGTTCAATGGTAAAACCTTGGCCTAATAACCTTGAGGTTATGGGTTCAAGTCACAGGACAACCACTTTGGGCACTATCTATGCCAAATGTTAGGTGTGTATTCAATTTTTTCCCTTCCAAACATATATTAATGTGTACTAATTGGATCTTTTTTTCTACAATATATTTCATGGTGAACTTAATTATATTTGGTTTTGTATCTTTAAAACAGCCATGGAAGCGTCAACTTCTTCTGAGGTTAACTTTCAGATTCCAGCCAATTCCCACATACCACTTTCTGTTCCATCTGGAGATGAAGTCGAATCAGCCATCTCAGGGTTTACAAGTTAAGTTAGTAGAAAAATATTGGGTTAAGAAGTATTCTTATGTGGGTTTTATTTATTTATTTGTGTAGTTTTATGTTTACAATTTATCTATGAAAGGCAAAAGAATATTCATCAATGTTCTTTTTCTACTTATTAATCCGCATGTGTTGTGCTCTGTGTTTCATTTTTATCCCAAGTCCAGACAAAGAGGGTTGTGTAGCGTGAAAATCCACTTGATATCTCTCACTAGCATTGATCATTCCAAAAAGACATCACACTACCATCATCCAAAGAAAACTCAATATTTGACACAAACAAACAAATTAAACAAAGCAGGGGATATCTTTCTGCATCCTGGATGAATTGTATGAAGATGTACCAAAAAAAGAAAAGGGCCGGGGGGGGTGTTTGTTTTCACCGTGACTGATTTGCTGCAGATAATTCTCCTCCAAAGAGCATTCCTTTTTGTGCCAATTCTCCCCCACCATTTCATCAAAAGACATCATTCATTTCCCTGATTTTTCTGATTCTCTTTGTTTCTCGTAACACTTCCCTATTTGTAGTGTACAAATATGATCATCATAGCATTACTAAGTGTTACGATATAGAAAAGCTAGAGAAACAAAGTATTACAATATACTAAAGAGAGTGAAATAGAAGAGTTATGGAGAGAATAGAATATCAGTACATGATCTGGTTTCTTGTAGTTGCACTCTAGTGCTTCATGATTTAGAGTTGTTATCTTCTTTGTGATGCATTGTCTGTTTGGTCCCTTTGCTGGTTGCTGATGGGGTGTTTCTGTTGTTGCTATTGTGACTCTCTTGTTTTGCTTTTGGTGGTTTCTCTTTTGTTGTTTTTGGTTGGATCCTCTTCAACCATTTTTTTTGTTCTTTGGTGGTGCTTGCATATGATAGGGTTTTCTTTCCTATGCCAATGTTGTTGGGATGAAAATGTTTAGCTTTGATGCTTTTTGCACTCCCCTTTTGCTTTATGTTTGATTGCCTTAGTTATGTAATGTTTTTTCTGTTTTCATCAATAAAGTGCTCTTTTGTGCCGATAAAAAAAAAATATTCTTCAATAGTTCTGGTATTTGACATAGTAATATACAACTTTCTATACATTCAGAGAGTAAAAGAAATGTTTCGGAGTGTGGTTTTGTTTTGCACTAGTTGATTTGGGTTCCCTTGCCTAGTTCGGATATGAATGCTTCTGATCTTAATACTATCTATCATATGACACCTCGTACAGTTCTTTTCAATCTGAAGCTGGGTCAAAAGTCAGTTCACTTCCATTGATTTCAAGCCTTGATGGTCTAGGAAAGCTGCAATCTGTTTAAGGAATGACTATTCAAAAAGCTTTTGGATTGTTGGACGGAGCCAAACCCATTCAGGTGCCTTATTCTCCTTATAATCAGTGTTTTGAAACAATTGTTCTTCTCTTGCACTTGGACACGATCCATTTCCCACTTGGGATTGCATTAACTCTTGAATCACGTCCTAAAAGGCATTATGCTTTCAATGATGAGTAGCAATTAATGATGTGAGGTACACTCATAACTAAGGTTTTAAATAGCACAACAAAGGTATTGGATGACGCGGCTGTAAAAATTTAAAAATCATCCGCTATAAAAAGAACTGCATTGCAGTGAACCGACCTGACTTGTCATCTCTGAATTGGGTCACAAATTAGCTATGAAGTGATACATATCACTAACCAGTCAATATGCATGTGATTTTTATTCCCTCTGCTATACCGGAGTGTATCGGTATTAGAGGCCATAAAAACAATTCGCATCAGCCGGTATTGGTATATATCATTCGATATTTAAAATAATTTATAGGACCAACTTGCCTATCTTTTTCTTGAAAAGAAAAGTCTGATTTGGGTTTGAATAGAAAGAATAAAAGACTCTTAATAAATCTCACACAAAAATATTATTGGCTAATCATTTGAATCATTTAATCACGTGACAACGAGCTTAACGTTTTAAGCGGTTATTGTCATGAGCATTCTTTTCATCAATTTATGTCCTCTAAATCTATTCGGCCCATTTTTTATGTAGAATGTGGTGAAAGCTGTAGCAACTGATAAAGAGATGTGGAATGCTTTTCTAAACGTTAATGAAGTACAGGAATTCAAGCGGCAGCTAATGACAGGTTCACAAATGCATATATTTATTAACAAAATTTAAAATATTAGTAATGTTAAGAAATCATAGTTTCTTATCACAGTTGGTTTACCATTTCATTTGTCAACATTGTATTAGTTTAATGAATCTCACCACTTGTGTTTATTACCAATGCAGTATTAGCACATGAGATGTTAAGAAAACATGGTACAAAAATATAGTCATCATAGTATTATCGTTGAAATGATTGTACAATTTTTATACCACTAATTTTATAATGGATGTTCAACCATTTTAATTTTATGAAATGTTAATCACATTAACAAAACCTTGGTTGATCGATAGACCTTTACTATATATATCATGTTAGGATGAATTTTTGCTTTGATTATATTTTGTTTTCTTAAGTTTGGCTCATTGGTCTCATATATTCTTCTCTAGAAAAGTGATATGATTACATTGGTCTTACTGTTTTGAGTGCAACTTGCATTCTCCTATACCCCTTTTACCTATTTTTTTAAAAAATATGTAAAACATCATGGACCGGAACATAATGAAGGGCTTGTTTATCTTTATTTCTTAAGTAGTATGTATGAATGATGTTTCTTAAAAATAAATATAAAAATAGAGAGAGAGAGAGAGAGAGAAGAAGAAGAAGAAGAAGAAGAAGAAGAAGAAGAAGAAGAAGAAGAAGAAGAAGAAGAAGAAGAAGAAGCCTTAACATATTTTTTATTATAATTTATTTTATTGTTTGATGTGGTAGACTCATGATAATCACAATATAGTAAAATATAATAATCCTACTTTAATGAAAATATGGGCTCGTTTGTGTCTGCTATCTAGTAGTTACAAAAAGGAAAAAGTTAAGGAATCTAAAACTAATGTAAACATTTATTAAAAAATAAAGTGTGGTATAAATTCAAACTTACCAAAATAAATTTAGTCTATATGTTTCAAAAAAATTATTTTTTGACATTTTTTTAAACAACTTTTTTGGGCTATGTAATATTAATGTCACAAAAATATCATAAGAAAACATAGTGAATATATTATCTCCCCTATTTTGGTGCCAACAGAGCAAAGGCAATAACGAGCAGCAACCCGTAGATGCAGGGCAATAGCTACAGTCAGTAACAATCGTCAGGTCTCTCTATTTCATTGTATTTACTTTTATGATTTTAAATATCAATCATTATGTATTATATCAACTTATACATATCAGTTTTTAAATTTCTCGATATTAATACATTTATTGATTGATATACCGACTTTTTGATTTCTCGATATTGATATATTTCATTTTGTTGATGGTAATAAAATTTATTAGCACAAAGTACACTCATTGCCCGTGCAGTTTGCCTCTTCTATCAATTTAGTCATTTCAGTTTGCTCATGGTAATAAAATTTATTAGCGCAAAAAACACTCATTGCCCTTGTAGTTTGCCTCTTATATCAATTTGGTCATTGTAATTCTAATTGCATCGATTGTACCATGACTTTGCTACTTTGTTTCAATTTAGTCAAATTCATAACAATATTTAGAAATTGGGCTGAAATCAAAGAGTAAATTAGTTAACTCACTCTAATCCGAATGATTGAAGAGTTGGCATCTAATTTGAAATGATCATTTCTTTTTTAACGGACTATTTTGCTTGATGTCTATTCAATTTCTTAACGAATATTACTAATTGGACTAAGTTGATATAATTTGAAAAATTACAGTGACCATAGGTATAATTTGGCCTAAAAATTGTAACAATCCAAAATTTTAATTATCTTTTAATCCCGTGCAAGTATTATTCAATTATGAATGAAGAAAATAGAATTTTTTTTTATAATTATGCATGTAGCTTTATAATTAGGATAAAATGTAATTTTGCAAATAGTGTAATTATTATATATATTTGGGGTCAAAATGTAATAAAATAAAAAGGAAAGAAAGGTGGCAACTGTGTGTGGGCAAGGTGTTGTGTGGTAGTGTGATGTGGTCAATAAATGACCCTTTATTTTGTTTTGCACTATAGGTAATGTTATATGTTTCATATGATATCATATTTTTTTTTTTTGATCGGCAAAATAAGGATTTATTGATGATTAAGCAAGATACAATCCACAATACATCAACAAATCAGGGGAGTGCACTATGCACTTGACCCATGATTGGCGAGAAGCCAATCAAACACCCAAACTCCAACAAATTAGCAAGATACAAGATACAATCCACAGACTACAATACAGCAGCAACCACCAATGCTTGGCCCCTAAACAGCAGCCAAGCCAGGCCACTTAACAGACTGAAAATGCACCTAGCATCTGGCAAAGTGTGCTACCAACCCGCAGACTAGCAGCCACCATACAAGCCACCATACAATACAAGCTTGAGCAGCAGCTGAAGAATGTAGCTTGTTCTGCTACTCAGATGCACACAACAGAAGGACACTGCCAGCTACAACCTTCCTCAAACACATGCCTTTACCTGATCAATGTTGTTGATAAAATCATTAACCGAGTACATATTCCCTAACCTGGAGGCCTTACTCCATAAGGCAAATCGAACCTTAATGAGCTCACTGAGATCAACTCCACAAGGCTGCACCCCATTAAATATGCAATCATTTCTACACTTCCAAATGGACCATAGAGCAATCAGAGGTAAAACCCTCCATAATCTCCTAACCTTGTTCTTAAAATGGCCACCTAACCACCAATAAAACAATCGGTCAACAGACCTAGGCACCACCCACAGGCACCCCCACCATTGTAACAGATCTGACCAAACTTTCCAGGAAAATGGACAATGCAGCAACACATGGGCAGCAGATTCATTCGCATTTTCACAAAAGGCACAAAGAGTTGAAGCACTACTGTTAAGAATGCCAATATGCTGGAGAAAACCTCTTGTTTTCACTCTATTCCTCCAGGCTAACCAGCCAAAAAACTGGACCTTAGGAGGTAAATCGGTGTTCCACACAAACTTACCTAAAGACAGATGAGGGCCAAAAGGAGTGTCACTGAACTTGTATAGGCCAGATACCTTGAGGCAGCCAGCTGTTCCATTCCATGTAGCACAATCCTCCACATTACTGCGTAAAGGAGGGGCATCCTTTAAAACAACAACCAATCTATTTACTTCATCCTTTTCCCAATCATAGAGGTTTCTCCTAAAGATAAAATTCCACTCCTCCACAGAAGATCTCCTATCATAGAAGCTTAAGAGTGATCCCCCTTTATCAATGGA